TCCCCGCCCCCCCCCCACCCGCCACCAGTAGCACCCTGTGCTGGAAAGCACCGTCTTACCTGTGGAAGCCATTCTTGGTCATTTGCTCAGGCGGGGTCCATGCTAAAGGTTCGTGTCCACGTGGCAGGAACCAGCCGCCAGAGCTGGTACCTCTCGCTTGCCAACGTCACGATGTGGGCCTCCTGGGGACACCCCGCACCATGGTAGGCAGGGTCAGGGGTGGGCCACTGGCTGGAGAGGGGGGCCGTCTGGCCAAGTGTCCGTGCCAGGACAGGCAGATGGGCATTCAGCCTGAGAGCAGCAGGTGCCCTCCAGGGCCAGGGCAGGGCGGGGCCGGCTGCTGCACCGGGGACCCCAGTGCTGGGAAAGGGCGATGTGCCCATGAGCCCACAAGGCAGAGCAACGCCCCGGGAGGGAAGCTGCATGGGACAGACGCACGCTGGCCCTTCAGCAGCCCCGGGGGGTAGGGTGGGGCAGACCACCCCCAGGAGGGGGGAGATCATGGGGAGGCTGGGCTGGATGGGTGGCCACATTGGGGGGCTCTGGCCCCCAGGGCGGGGAGCAGCCTGCGGTGAGTTGGGTTTCATCGTTTGCTCTGACCCCCAGTAAGCGCCTGGTAACGTGTGGGCAGTGACGGCACCTGCCGAAGAGGGTGGTGTGACGATACAGTAGAGCACAGACAGCAGCCGGGTGCCTGGCAGGTGATGCTTGGGGAGTGTCCTGGGCACCCTTGCGGCTCCGCCAGTCAGCACGGCCTGGGCTCCGCAGCCAAAACAGCCCCGCCGTCCGGCGGGGACCCAGACCCGTCTCACTGTGGGCCTCCATGCTCACAGCTGGGGAAGGAGCATGGCAAATTTTAGGAGCAGACACAGTCGTCCCACCTGTCCCTGAAAGGGGATCCACCCAAAGCATTGACTGAAATCACAGCACCTGGAAAACTGAAAAGCGAGCATAGGTCAGTGGTGAGCGGCCATGTGGGGAAGTGGGCAGCCGGGGCCTCGGGGTCACAGATGATGGATTGGACATTGGCCCTCCCTCCGTTTGATGTCTGACCCACGTGAGGTGAGCACCTCTCACAGGTCTGAAACACGGGTGCTGAAGTGTCAGTCGTTTTTTAAATGAAGTATTAGCTATTGCAACAGCTACACAGCACCAAGAGTAACGACCACCCACAACATGGGTGAGCGTCACAGGCAGGATACTGACCACAGAGCACGGCTTCGCGACTGACCGAAACTTACAAGCAAATTCACTGTTAGAGGCTCGCAGGTGGTTACCCTTGGGGGGCGGGGAGGGAGGGGGGATGTTTTCAGATGCTGCTTACACAGAAGTGTCCCTGACAGCTCAAGCTGGGCATCTGTCAGTACTTTACACACACACACACACACACACACACACACACACACACGATCCACTGTCCCACTGCTGCCCCATCAAGCACCTACCAAGTGAGTGTCCTACTCAGAGCGGCTCGGTCCCGACACCCACCCTCCAGGTCAGAGCTGCCCTCAGAAGGGAGACAGCGAGGCCTGGCCCTGCAGCGATGGACGCCAAACAGCCCCCACCCAGCAGGACGCACCTGCCAGCTCTCTGACACGCTCCACCACTGTGGCGGGGGGGGCCGCGGGTGGCTCTGCCCCTGCCCCCCAGCAGAGGGGACAGATCTACTGTGTCCCTAGGACCACTCCTCCAGGCAGCCCAGTCTGCCGGAAGTCCAGGTCCACCTGGCTGGCCCTGGGCCCGAGCAGCTTGGCATGAGGTAGGGAAGCACCTGGCAGCCCACTTATCCACCCTCCTTGGTGCCTCACTCGGATTTGCCTCTCCCCACCGCCCCCGTCCTGCTTCAGTCCCCTCCCGCTTCAGTCCCCTCCCTAGCCTTAGGGGCTTCTTCCATGGGCTCCTTCAGAACCGGGGCAGCCCCCTCCTAATTCTGGGTGGAACCTCGCAGACCAGAAGCCTCGGACCGCCCCAGCCTACAGGTAGTACCCAAGACTGCCCTGGGCGGGTGGCCAGGCACCAGCCGGCACAGGCTCTGAGGACCACCCCTCGCCATCCCGCCAGGCAGGGGCAGAGGGGTGGCAACGCAGGAAGCAGTGTGTCCACGGCTGACCGCAGGTGCAGGAAAGCCCTTTATTGAGCAAGGCCACCCTGTCCTTGGCCAGCGGAGGGTGGGGTATCCCGCAGGGCCTGCGACGCCGGCGCGGGGGCGGGGGCCGGTTCCGCGGCCGCTCAGGCCTCGGCCTCGGCTTCGCCAAAGAGCGGATTGACGAAGTAGCAGCGGCTGGAGCTCCAGACGTCCAGCTGCGGCGCGGGGAGCTGCGGGAGGGCGGAGTCAGGGGTCCGGCCGCGGGAAGTCCCACACCCCCGCCCCCGGGCGCCCCCTCACCGCCTCCGCCGGGTCCGCCGCGTAGAACACAGGGTTGTGGAAGCCCACGGGCGCCCCAGCCGGCGCGGGGTCCGCCTCGTCGCGCCTCCTCCACCTGGAGGTAGGGACACGCGTGAGCCCTGCGTGCCTGAGCGCCGCGTACCTGAGCGCCGAGGCCCCGCCCCGCGTACCTGAGCCTCCCCGCGCGGCGCAGCAGCAGCGCCCCCGCCAGCAGCGCCAGCAGTAATAGGAGCAGCGCGGCCGCCAGGCCGCCCGCCAGCCCCGCGCGCGGCCCCGGCGCGTTCAGCCCCGCCGCCGAGCCGCGCCCCGACTCTCGAGCGGTCGCCGATAGGACTCCGAGGGCTTCGCCTGCAATGGAGGGCGCCGGCTCAGTCGGCCCCGAGCAGGGCGGGGCGGGGCAGAGGTGCGGGGCTGGGAACGGGGCGCCCGCGGTTACCGTGCTCCGCGATGTCCGCCAGCAGGGCCCGGGCTAGGCGCCCCGCGCCGCCGGTCTCGGGGCCGGTCTCCACCAGCACCACCTGGATCTCCGTGTCTGCCTTCGCGCCTGAGGCTTCGCGGAGCCGGGGCTGGCGCGGAACCTTGGACACGGCCATTTGCAGCCCCTGATACTGGGGCTGGAGAGGGGCACAGAGTTGGTCCGGGAACTCCGCCCCTCGGCCCTGCGGGAACGTTGGGGGCAGGGACAAACGGTGGACAGGCGGAGAGTGGACGCCTCAGTGAGGAGGCGGAGTGGGGCCCGGGGATCCCTGCGGAGAGGGTGGTCCCACACCGGGCCTGCGGAAGGGCAGGGGCCCCGGTCGGGGCGCGGCCCCATTACCAGAGCCAGGAAGGCGTGCAGCAGCCGCGCCCGGTACCGCTGCAGGTCAAAGGCCGGGCCATGGGTCAGCGATACGATGGCTCCTGAAGAAGCAGGCAGGTGAGGGTCAGCACCGCGGGTCCGGGCCCGACAGGGAAACTGAGGCTGGGGGCGAGCCAGGGCGGCCAAGCCGTCCTAGCTAGCAGGGGCCGGGCGGGGCTCTCACCGCAGAGGTCGCAGCACTGCCCTTCGGGCCGGAGGGGGTCTCGGCAGGCAGCCTGGGGGCAGCGGCCACCCAGGGGCTGGAGCAGTGCTGCGCAGATCCACGGCTGCACCTGGAAGCGGAGAAGCGGAGAAGCGGCGGTCAGCGCGGAGCAGACCGCAGTGAGAGGGCCACGCACCCGGGGAGGCGAGCGGGCCAGAGACGGCGGGGCGCGGCGGCCCCTGGCACAGTTCGACCTCCGGCGCAGAGCCGGGCCCAGCTGT